TCAAAGTTCTTCAACAAAAATAGTCCCTTTAACACAGCATTTTCTCTTTGCAAATTGATTTTTTCCTCAAGTTTGATAGTACATAATGGCATAGAAAGCAATAATCAATACTTAAAAAATTATTTGTTACTGACAAATCACAAGAAATGTGCAATTTAATGTACCTTTATAACATAGCAGTCAACTGAAATATTCCACTCTTAGTTTGTTACAATATCAAGTGTATTTACTTGTGCTAAACCAAGGTATATACCATCATAATAACAAGGCAAATGTTCAATACTCACTGTTTTCCATTGTTGTCAGGTTTTTTGGTGTTCCAGGGATGCACGCTTGCACAAGTTACAGCTGCAGGCTCATAGATCTAGCAGACGACATGGTGGTGGCTGCCATATTGTTTTCATAGCAACATGCTTGTACTTTCCGCACAACTCGTTATTATATGTGAATGCATTTTCAGACTTTGCACCTCAAACTTTATTACACTGTAAACAAAAGTTTCCCCAAGGCTGATTCTTCGTCTGGGTTTTTATAATGTACTCTCCATGATAGTATATTACTCCTAAAACACAAATTTGGTTGTTAGGGTTAAATGTCCGGGTTAAATATTTTGGGTGCTTTTTTACTGGCCTTATACGTATAAGACCATTCAAAATGTGGCAATTTTGTCTATTCTCTGCCACATAGAAATTGCTGTTTTTCCATGTTTTCATTGTGCATAAAATTAAGAGTTTTACCACTAACAAGGAGTTCACATTATGAATGGTTTGTTTTGAAAACATTTTTCAGATGAATAATACATATTAAATAGAAAAACACCTATTCTCCTATTTTTTACCTTGGCCCTTTTATTCCCTTCCAATGTGGCTACAACTGAATGGCGGGCCATCTTGGAAAACAACAAAATGGCGGCTATTTACACTTAATAAAACATTAATATCTCAAAAAAGTTTTGACATAGATTAAAAAGGAAACGTGTTTTGTACTCAATTCTTATGCATTGAACTAAAAGAGGTGTACACCCTGAATAATGAAATGCATGTTCAAAATTAGCCTGACGTCCCTAATAAAAGTGAAACATGTTGGAGAAGGATCCGTGTCTGTGATAATTTCAGAAACTTCTAATTTCAGGGTCTACTTTCACAGTGCAAAACAAACATGGCGTCATAATGGCGGTCGTCGTCCGGATTGACGGCCGTGTGGTAACGGTTCTTGTCAGTGCTTTGATCCAAGAAAATTCATGCCTGGTTATGATAGATGTAGTAGATTTCTCAAAGCGAAGATAGAAATTATAGGCTACGAAGATACCAACATCAGTTCCCCGACCGACTGTCAGTGTTTGCGAGAGAACGGCATAGGAATCCAGGTGCACAATGTCACGCGAACATTAAAAGCGTACTTTGTTGTCTGGGGTGTGCTAGTTAAATTGAAGGTTTCTTGAAGTTTCTAGGACGTAAGCCAAGATTTGCTGACAACAATACGTGCTTTGGCATAAAAGCTTACTGGGAACCAGATGACCTAACGCAGTCAGCTGAGTGATCAGGAGAAAATTATGTCACCGGACTTGTGACGTAACGTATTACTCCGCACATATTTGTGAATGCCATAGACATTCCACGAAGTTTAGTTTCATGATTTGTGGCATTTGAAATCGTAATTTTAAAAATTATAAAGCAAAAATGACATTAGGGAGATAATAGTTATCATTATTTGTAAGTTTTGGGATGAGTTAATATCCTGCATTAGAATGAACACTATATAATTAGCTCGCCAAGGCTCAAGCAAAATACAATGATTATTCTAATGCAGGATATTAACCTATCCCAAAACACACTCGCGTGATAACCTATATTGATGTGACGTCACGCATTAGCGATCAGTCAGGAATTATAGAAATTGATGATTTGGTATACTTAAAAAGGATATTTAAAGAGGTTAAACCCTATGCATTTTTATTACATAATGCCATTCAAACATGAATATATATCCACATCTGCACCATCCATTTGACGAAAAATAGTCGCAAAAATTATAATATGCACCAAAACCTAAAACCACTCTAGCCCCGCCCACTGCATGCATATTTATATTTTTTAGCGGTCTGCCGTCTGTGGTGTGACGTCATACCCAAGAGTCCGCTCAGTGTGTTGACATTTCAGTAGTGTATACGCCATCGAGTTGAAAGTGACACAAAGCGCAATATTTTGAATGAAGTGTTGTTGTGGATTATGTATTGAAACTGACAACTGCATTTCGAGTTTTGATGATCATCCAACTGCGTAAAACAACACGGCTGTATCGATACATTTCTGAAAATTGTATTTGACAAAAGGAAGGGCATAGATTGTTTACCGTCGTCGTGCGTTTTTAACCCTCCACGCACGGTCATCTGTGTTCGTTACACTTTTCAAAAGAACTGCTATGAAAGAGACCTAACCTCTGGCGAAAATATGGATACGAATAGGCAAACTTAAACTTTATAAGGATGCTATATATCGGGTATTCCTTTCGACATTCCAAACAAACACAGAGGCCGAACGCCTCCAGTAGCTAGCTATATAAAGCAACAGTTGATGAATAAGTGATGTCAGTAATTTCCGCTCATGTCCGAGCTCGATCAGGAGATATATTTTCACAGCCACCGTCACTGTTAATTGTGCAGGGCCAAGCCATCTACTTCGAGACGGGTGTGTTGCGGGTGCGAGTGTGTGTGGGAGGGATTAGGATGGGGCGTGAAATGGACAAAATGAGAACGTGCAAATATATGGGTGCGGTGGTGAGAGCACATAATTAATTACTAAAACATAATTAAAAATGAGTCATATCAGATAATTTATTCACTCAGGACCGGTCCCTCACCATTAAAATGGTGTATGTGAAGTGGTGTGTGTAAGTGTGTAAGTAAGGTAAGTATTGTTAGGGCATGATTAAAATGTTGACTCTCACTTTTCTCTCTTTATGGTAATGTACAATAAATAAAATGAAAATGACTGCTCTGGCACTGGCATAAAAACTTAGGTATTTATGGACCCCTTTGTAAAATCACATGGCAGCTGTATATATAAGGTAACTTTTAACCCACTTTCAAAAATGGGGAAATCAGGGAAATATGTTCATTCAGATAATGCATTTCTTTTTGTGAGTTTTGTTTTTGGCAAAATGTAAAAAACGCTACTTTTAATGCTATTTCTTTTTAGAATGTACATGGCAGCATTACTCTCATCAATGAAAACAGCCTAAATACCCTAGAGTGACGGAGACTGAGAGAACCCAAGTAGGCAATCAGCTACCCCATAGGCCTAAACCAAGAGGCCAAGCCAGTGAACAAGAAACCTACACGTGGTAAATATAATTCAGACAATCAATAATCTTTGTTGAACTTTGGTGCACTGTTCCTATTACTGCATATTTTCCCTAACTAATGAGTCAACACTAAGTCTTGTTTGCAAAGACAATGGTATTTAATCCTCATCTATTTTCCCTCCTCTCAGCATTTATTAAGAGACAAAGTACTTTACTTTTCAAGTTGCACATTTCAAAGAAAAATTATTATTATGATTGCCAAAACAAAATATACTATAATTGTGTGGACAAAAATGTCTCTATTATATATACCAAGGTGTTCATTAAGAGCGAAACTAAACAATGTGAAGTGACCTTTTTTAAAAAATCCCTGGGTATATATATATATCCACAAAATACAGTTAAAAACGGTAATATTTCATTATACAGCTTGTATTAGGAATCTAAAACGCACCTCCCTCGAAAGCATTTCGCGATTACGCAAGATAATGAGGTAGATGGTCACGTGGTCGCGTGACGTCATACCCGAGAGTCGCTACATGAACACACGGAAAATACAGTGGTACCGAGCCTGTTCGCTTACTGAGGTCTGCTTCTAGTTTAGCAAATAAATCAATCCACGAAGTCAAACCTGGATTTGGATGGCATACTAGATACAGATAATATCACATACATACAACGTTTTCAATTTGAAAGTATTTCAAGCGGCAAGACCGACAGGAATATTGACGACGATTCCACCAGTTGACAACATACAGCCGTGGGACGATCCCGACTATGTTTTGAATAGACCTACTGCAGACTGGTATGCAAGTCACTTGCCTATCACATGTTCATGGAAAACTGATTAGATACTGAATTCATTTTTCACGGTAAAATTTGCAATCATGATAACGGCAATGTTCGATCAATGTGTTGAGCCTGTCTTCCGGTATCGGTATGGGAAAGTAAACATTGAAATAGTTACGTTCGAGGTTCATGATTTTATGAAGGTTATTAAGGAACTTTCAGCTTTATTTCATAAAATGCGTCTTCTGCTAAATTTATCGTAAAGTTTTAGTTTGGTGATAATCTTTCTATGAAATACGTACCGTTACGGAAGTCGATAAGTTCGATCTCACTACTGTATTGTAGAGAAGTACCCTAAATTCGTTAGTGTATGTTTTCAGAGAAGTCGGTGTATCCATTGGCGGATCCAGAGGGGGTGTGCGCACCTTTGTGCTGAAGGTTTGTTAAATGACCTTTGAAACTCGGTTGGAAATGAAGTGTGCACCCCTCCTTTTCTCAGTAGTGTGCACACACACACCCCACCCCCCTTCTCAGAAAGCTGTAGCCGCCCCTGGTATCGTCTCTGATATGGTGCATCAAACATCAGTTTTATTACATTTTCAATTTCCATACACGTGTAAAGCATAGGTTATATGTCGTGATACTTAGTCTTATAACTCTGCAAAATATACATAAAATGTAAAATGATAAAGACCTGGAACCTACTTAACAGCTGATAATAGATATAATAAATAGATATACATGCAAAAAATAGAACTGACAATTCCTTATCTTTCTCTTTAACTGTCAGCTAGTGAAAAAGAAAAGTCTTCATTGTGTTCTAGTAGTAATGTGTAAAGTGTGATCAGTCCCAAAGAAAGACCATCGATCAAATCCAGAAACCAGCACACAAAAATTAAAGCAAATAATTTATTTGCATACAAACTGTTTATGACAAAATAATGAATACAATGTGTACACCAACATCATGAAGGCAAAGGCTTGCGTGTAAATTAACTGGATGGACTGGTAAAAGCCTAAGAAAACAAAACTGCTCTCCAATAAGACCATGTGACACAGTGGTGACTGCAATTTGGAAACATTTACCATCTGAACAAATCCCAGAATTCAAATTGACGAATACAGTAGACCTTTAAGACATCAGGCACAACTGGTATCAGTTCACACCCTAGACACATATGCATGATTTCATTTTATATCTTGATGTCAGTTAATTCACCAGTCCTGTTTACTAGTTATAAATGAAAGAGTCTGGCAGAATATCCTGGAAAAATAGGCTGTTGTGTCCTGCAAGTCTTTCGGAAGGAAACATGTTTCTTCTGTAGAGAATGGCCCTGAGTAGGAATTCCACATACCCTGTGAATAAATTTTACATTGAATTAGAGACATTTTGTAACACAATTTCAGTATATTTTGTTTTGGCAACCATAATCATAATTTTCTTTGAAATGTGTACTTGGAAAAGTAAGTACTTTTGTCTCAACAAAATGCTGAGAGGGAAAATAGATATGAGGATTAAATACCATTGTCTTTGCAAAACAAGACTTAGTGTTGACTCATTAGTTAGAGGAAAATATGCAGTAATAGGAACAGTGCACCAGTTCAACAAAAGATTATTGATTGTCTGAATTATATTTACCACGTGTAGGTTTCTTGTTCACTGGCTTGGCCTCTTGGTTTAGGCCTATGGGGTAGCTGATTGCCCACTTGGGTTCTCCAGTCTCCGTCACTTCTAGGGTATTTAGGCTGTTTTCATTGATGAGAAATGCTGCCATGTACATTCTAAAAATAGCATTAAAGTAGCATTTTTACATTTGCCAAAAAACAAAACTCACAAAGAAATACATTATCTGAATGAACATATTTCCCTGATTTCCCATTTTTGAAAGTGGGTTAAAAGTTACTTATATATACAGCTGCCATGATTTTACAAGGGGTCCATCAATACCTAAGTTTTATGCCAGTGCAGAGCAGTCATTTTCATTTTATTTATTGTACATTGCCATAAAGAGAGAAAGAGTGAGAGTCAACATTTTAATCATGCCCTAACACACACACGCACATGCGCACGCACGCGCACGCACACACACACGCACACACACACACACACAATTCACATACCATTTTAACATGGTTAGGGACCAGTCCCTGGTGGATAACTATCTGATATGACTCATTTTTAATTATGTTTTAATAATTATGTGCTCTCTCTCACCACCGCACCCATATGTTGCACGTTCTCATTTGTCCATTCACTACCTCATCCTAATCCCTCCACACACACTCACACTGCAACACACCCGTCTCGAGAAATAGATGACTTGGCCCCTACTGGAGTAACAGTGACAGAGGCTGTGAAAATATATCTCTGATCGAAAATAGGACATGAGCGGAAATTTATGACGTACTTTGTTCATCAACTGTTGTTTTATATAGCTAGCTACTGGAGCGTTTATGTTGCTCCAAAACAACTACATCTTAAAACTCACCTGCAACCAACGTCGCTTCCGGAATGCAACTTTCTCGGTCTCAGTCCCAAGTTGACATTTCGGCCTCTGTGTTTGGAATGTCGAAAGGAATACCCGATATATAGCATCCTTATAAAGTTTAAGTTTTGCCTATTCGTATCCATATTTCGCCAGAGGTTAGGTCTCTTTCATAGCACTTCTTCGAAAAGTGTAACGAACACAGATGACCGTGCGTGGAGGGGTTAAAAACACGCACGACGACAGTAAACAATCTATGCCCTTCCTTTTGTCAAATAGAATTTTTCAGGAAATGTATCAATACATCCGTGTTGTTTACGCAGTTGGATGATCATCACAGTGGTTTTAGTTTTGGTGCATATTTATAATTTGTACGACTATTGTTCGTAAATGGATGGCGCAGATGTGGTATATATTCATGTTTGAATGGCATTATGTAATAAAATGCATAGTGTTTAACCTTTTAAAAATCCTTTAAGATATATAATCATAACGATTAATCATTCACACCCTGTCTTACGTGCAACGGTAGTGCTTTAACTTAGAAAGGATCGACGCGAGAGAAAGTTTACATTATGCGATCGCGTAATTAGATATGTTTTATTGCTATGTTTATGATAAAAATATATAAACTAGCAATGATGTAGAAAGAACATATATAGAGAGGGTGCTTACCTGTGAAATAAGGATATCACAAACATTACAAACCGGAAACATGAGTCTCATTAACCAATTCAGACAATGACCTACTCTTTCAGCCGATCCAAAATTTCTCGTGTAAAGTGAAAAGTGACACCACAAACAACTATGGTTACACTGAATACCAATAAGAATTTTTTGTTAACAAATTAATATTAATCTTAAAGTTTAAAAAATCGTATTTCTATATTTTATTTCGAGGTTTAGGCAGCATGTCGTTAGCGAAGATGTCACAGACTGCAGCTGCTCTGAAGTGGTCGTACAATGATTAACACTTCATCTGGCTCACTGGTTACACCTGTTATGTGCTGCTCTTTGCGCTTATTAAGTGTATTTTGTAACGTACAATGTGATTGATGTAATATCAAGTCCGTACTAGACCGCCAAACTTTTCTAGCGACCGAGCCCTAGTTTTGAGATTTACAGATTTCCATTTGTCAGAGCACGCTGTACGACAGAGCACGCTGCACGACGTGTTTGCAAGGATTAGAAGGAGTGTAGTGTTGTAATATACAGAGTGATTAGATGTATCCAAATAATACTGATTAATATTTATATATCCAGTTGAATGAGTTGGTCTCAGACTTCGGGGCTGGTTATTGTACTAAGTTGCGCAATAGGACGGAACCCATTCAACAGGAAACGAGACTGTTGAGTAATCAATGTTTTGACTTGAAATATATTGTACGTCTGACATGTTCAGATGGTGACAACACGTCACAGGCATGGAACGCACGTGATTTGGCGGGTAGCCAAGTACAGATGGCACGTACAACTCTCTACATATATACTGAGTCAAAGAAGAAACTTCACAAAATGTAATTTAAAAATAATGAATAGTTTTTCTCTGATGATACATCTATGTATCCGAAATGGGATCCCTATCTGTCGACTCTAGAAAACGTTAGCAAAACCCACTCAAACCCATCCATTCGTCGTGCAAATGACATTAGTGCCAAATCAGGTTTTGAACATGCAGTCTATCACGTGATCTTCGCATCGAAGTTTTCTTCATATGCACGTGTTTGCATTGGCCTCAAGAATTGAAAAAACACTTTACACCACAGTTCTAACGGTACTTTGAAATGCCACGATTGTCAAATGTGCAACGTGAACGTGCCGTTGGCATGTTGCAAGCGGGAAGATCAGTTATTGACGTCGCAAGAGCAATGGGATGCAGCCGTCGTACTGTGTGTATGACTTGCGAGGTCGTCTACAACAAACTGGCACCACTTCTGATCGCCCAAGGTCGGGTCGTCCACGTGTGACGTCACGAGCAGAAGACCGTCAAATCGTCCTACGTCACCCACGTGACAGATTTCTGCCGGCTACACGAACCAGGGCTGAGATGTTTAGAGGTCGACTGTCCTCACATATCATTCGAAATCGGTTGCGGGCTGCCAATCTCTTCTCGACGTCCATATCATGGGCCAATACTGACGCCGTTTCATCAACGTCAATCGTCTGCTGTGGGCCCAACGTCACCTCCGATGGACCCAGAGAGACTGGAATCGAGTCGTCTTTAGCGATGAATCCAGGTTTACCCTCAGATTCGCGGACGGCAGGCATAGAGTCTGGAGACGACGTCGTGAACGGTATGCCCAATGTTGTGTACAGGAAGTCGACAGATTCGGGGGCGGAAGTTGCATGGTGTGGGGTGCTTTCTTTGGGAACAACCGTTCCCAACTTCTGGTCGTCCGTGGAAACCTCACAGCTGCTGCTTACCGCGACCAGGTGCTCACCCCTGAACTCGTTCCTTTCTTATGGCGGCTCATGGCCCAGGTCTACAGTTCCAGCATGATAATGCTCGGCCGCATACCGCGATGTTGACACGAAATTTCCTTCAAAACGCTGGAATCAACGTCATGGACTGGCCATTGAGGTCCCCTGACCTTAATCCAATAGAGCACGTTTGGGATGCACTTGGGAGAAGGCTTCGTGGTCTTAGGAACCAACTTCAGAAATTGCAGGAACTTGGCGCTGCCTTGCAAGAGCAATGGCGCAGAATCCCCAACCACGTGTTCACAAGCATCAGGCAGTCGATGAGGAGACGGTGTTTGGCAGTGGTGAATGCGCGGGCGGCCATACACGATATTGAACTGAGAAATTTCGCATTTTTATTCTTGTGACTTGACATTCTGTATATCCATGTTTTGGAACGGCGGTGTAGCCTAATGGAACTGATTATGGCACTGTCAGTGTATCGAGTACATCACACAGATCTCAGCAATGAAATAATAACAATTTAACCATCTTACCATGTCTTGTTCTTTTATAGTGCCCTGAAGAAAGAATGTGAAGTTTATTTTTGACTCAGTATAGATCTAGAAAGTGGAGAAGGAGCCTTCTGGGGAAATAAAAGGGAAATAGAAGGCTGTCAGCGACATATATTCTCTTTGTTGCTGTTTAAAAAACGCGGCTAAACACGATTAAACACTAATTATAAGCTTTAAAGCAATATGCCTTGCAAGTGTAACTATTACGTTGAGAAAATTCAAGTGAGTTATGTGCACGAAACATACTTGAATCGTTTCAGATTATTAAGTTTTAAAGCAAATGTTTTATTTACAGATTTGGTCATTGAGTATTTCACAGAAGTTTTCCATGCAGCACCCGCGAATGACCCTGTGACGTCATTGCCGGTTGTCAACCGGATTCACTGTGTGGCCAGCTGTCGTCGCGACCTTGACTGTTACTTTGTGACAGTAGAAGTCAGTGCAGGGGTCAGCAAGTGCGGCACGTACAACTTCAGTATATTCCAGGCTGGTCTGACCTCCTCGTCCCGTGTGACTTTGATACCAGTGAACCTTTGACAAAGCTGCATATTCTTAAAAATAGTCCGGCTTGGGAATACTTTTCATGTAATAGTCATAATGAATCAGCCTTTTAGCTTAATTGAGGAATACACAGGTCGACCTCTTTCTTCACAGACGTTACAACATCGGTAAACACAATGCACTATGTTTGACCACCACATATTCACCATAAGAAATCCTGCCATACCTGGTCGTTGACAAATATAATATTTGAAACTGTATGTAAAATATTGTAAACATTAAATATCTCAGACATATCGATTGACATACTTCTGTAATATTGGTCTTTTCCGTTACGTTACTCTAGTCATATACTCATGCCAATAATGGTTGTCACCCCTCCCACCACTAACCCCACACACAACTCCACACCCTCTCCAATTAAAAACTTGAAGGGTGACAACCATTATTGGCATGATTATATATGGGTTGGTGGGGTAGTCTAGTGGTTAAAGCTCGTCGAGCCGGGTTCGATTCCCACATGGGTACAATGCTGGAATATTGCTAAACGCGGCGTAAAACCATACTCACTCACTCACTCATATACAGTTATATATATATAGTTATATATGGACTTATTGTTAGCATTGTTAATGACACTAACAGATGACCCACTACAATCAAAGTACAACTTCCTTTGTCAGAAACTCACATAAGTTAACCATCTTTTTGTCGATAAGGAAGGGAATCTATGTAAACACTTCGAGTTAGCCGAGGTTCGGCACAACCAGACTAAAGAATATAGGCATCAAGTTTTTACTTTGGGACAACCATAATTCTAATTCAACTTAGTATGTAACACGAGTTCTGATTGGTCAATGCTATAAATTTTGACCGTATAATCAGCATATACGGTCGCAATTTGAAAACCTATTCACCGAAACCTTTGAATGTAACTATCCCTACACTATTGGGGTAACGCTGTTTTCGGGGCATTGTCATTTGCAGAAGCCCTAGGTCAGTTTAACTCCCCTATCCCGCTAAAATAGATGGACTTTGTGTTAAAAAAGACAAAACAGTATCATAAATTTAATCGTAAGTTCAAACGACTTAATGTGCGTTCTCACGGTGCAACTTGTAGTAACAACTTGTAGCATGCAACACAGTTGCAACGTGAGAACACCAAAGTCGTAACGATTTGAAATCGCATACAACTAGTTGCAACCGAGTTGACAGACATAGGACTTGTCCTAATTCCTACAAGTCGCAAGCTCTCGACCAATCAAATCGCTGGGATCTGTGTCCACCTCAGAGTGACGTCCCCTTAGTTTATGTTGACATCATGTCGGAGCCACGCCAGAAAAAGATCGACCTCACCTGGGAAGAAACCGAGTGGTTTATAGGTTTCTACTTGTCCAAGGAATGCCTATGGAATGTTCAACATGCCACATATAATATTCCAAAAAGGGACAACAGACTGGCCGCGCAGTCAATGATCGCGGAACAGATGTACTGCCACGGGAGAGAAATGACGGGTGAGTTCCTCTTCGGTCACTAGCAGACGACATTTGTCTATTATTTACACGCTAGTCGTATATTTCCTCCGCGACTAAAGTCGTAAAGACATTATAATTAGCAAGTTATGGCAGTAATTTCCACCTGCTTCATCTCTGCTATTGTGTGTTTTCAGTGGAACAAGTTGCGGCAACAATCGCAAGTCTACGGACTTATTATGGCCAGGGAACTAAGAAAAATCACCCAGTCAGAGAAAAGTGGTTCAGGGTGGATGACCTGTACCATTCATCGTGGGAGTTTTTGCAGTCCTGACCCTTCTTGAGATGCCATGTACAGCAGAGGCCTTCTACTAATCTAGTAATTGTCAGTAATGATGCTATCTCCGTCAGGTATTATGGAATATGGGATGCATGCTGAAAGGATATTATCTAGCGAACTCTTTTTCATATTAATAATATTATTAATCAAACTGTGCAATAAAACATTTACAAATTACAATATAAAATTTTGGTGCTTATAAATTTATGTTTCTAATGTTTGATTTATTTCATTTGGAGTGAAGGTAGCAATTACTGCATTGGCTAATTTTGTGAATAAAGGAGGTTGGTATATTTCTTTTATTGATTCATGTGGTGATTCTGCTGAGATGTGATTTTACATCACCAATTGAAAAACAATATAAATAAGAGACAAGACATGAAATGACATTTGAGTTTCAGTTGTATTATTCCTTGCAAAGTACAAACAATGATTTAAGTATATGGTCTGTCACATGTTCATGAATGATAACATGTACCTTCATGTTGTCAAATACCCATTTGCGTTAGTTAATGAAATGTACATTTCTTTCAGATGAGGGAACCAATTTCTGCAGCACCCATCACTATTACTGATGACAATGAATGCACAGGGAGCATTGAGTGCACCATGGATTCCACTGACAATGGCTGCAGTCAAGAAGTTAGTAATTGCTATCTAAAATTACAGTTCCTGAGTCACTGATTTGTCATCTGTGAATACTTATTATATGTATACATAAATTCAGTCCTTCCACATTTTACATTTCACATAAGTGATGTCACTTTTCAAAGTTTATACCACCATATCCCACTGCTAATCAACTTGACCTTCTGTCATAAAATAATCAGCCAGCTCATCTTGCACTTCTCTTGCATTGCTGGCATTTCTGTTCCCTCCCTGCTGTATGAAACCATGGATAACACTGTGTACATTAGCTGCATCATTAGTGTTATAGACTGGGTCAGAGTTTGATTTGAGAAAGTTATGTAATGCAACACTTGCCAAGACAACTGAACTGGCAACTTCTGGTGATACTTGTAGAGGTTTTTGAAAGATGCAGAATCTGTTGACCAGAAGGCCAAATGCATTTTCAGATACTCTCCTTGCTCTTGACAGCCTGTAATTAAATATTCTTTTCTCATAAGATAAATCCCTCATAGGATAAGGCTTCATCAAGTGTGGCTTTAGTTGGAAGGCATCATCTCCCACAACAACGCTCGGCACTACTTCATGACGGCCCTCCAAGGGAGTTGGTTGTGGAATATTTAATGTGTTATGCTGTAGTGCATAGGAAAGCTGGGAATTAGCATACACTGCTGCATCTCCAGCTCTGCCATTGGCTCCCACATCTACAAATATAAATTTGCAATTTGCATCCACCAATGCCAATAGAATGATACTGAAACATTTCTTGTAGTTGAAGAATTCAGATCCTGTATTGTTGGGTGCCCGAATTGCAATATGCTTGCCATCAATTGCACCAATGCAGTGGGGGAACTGCCACTTTGCCATGAATTCTTCCTGAATGTTGTGCCAGTCACGTTCAGTAGTAGGAACCTGAAAAATAATATTATCAAATCCTGTATATCAGTGTCTTGTTTAACTCAATTAAACACATATAAACTTATAATGTTTAACATTTTGTCAAGCATGTAAAGATTATATCTGACTTGTTTTCATAGAACTGACCCCTGACAACATATTTTTCAGACATCACACTGCAGTGGTTATGCAGAATCTATGCCTGTTAAAAACAGACAAGGCTCAACCACACCCCCCAAGAAGAGGAGGAATCAAGCAACAGGAAGTCCTGAATTAAAAAATCTAATGTACAGGACATTGGAAAGGATATCTCAAAGAAAGCCAAAAAGTGACACAAATGATTGTGACATTTTGTTTGGTCAGCAGGTTGAGCTCGAGAGCTTAAAAAATGAAAACCTAAGAAAGAGACAAGAACTGAAACTGAAAATCTATTCACTGATTTTGGAAAATCAGTTTGAAAATGAGGCCTAAATATCAAATGATTTAAGGGAGGGGGTGTCAGCAATTTTGTACATAGAAATATTAATATGTTATGCTTTAAAAATAAAGAAGGGGAGGGGGGGTGTCATTCACATTGTACATACTTCTCCATAAAATCATCATCACCGCCCCCAGCCATAAGTTATGAACATTCCGTAACATATGTAAAATATAGTTCTCTTTAGCTGAAAATAGATGTTTCCGCCTATTTATATGTTTAAAATACTTCTATCAAATAATAAACATTCATGTATCATGTAATCCTTGTCTGTTTTATGTCTATATGATTTTTTTACACATAATGAAACCTATTTTAAACTTACATTAATCCCTGACAAATTCTTAAGTGTGGTTTATGCGCTGATTTTCAAGAAGATCTGTAATGATATCTAAAACTGTTCAACAAATTTTAAAAGTATTTTATTAAAATTTGTGTTTGTTCGTTTTATTGATTTGTGAAGAATGTGGTACCTGCAAGTAGTCTTTTGAAGTACATCATAGATGGCTTTACAGACACAAGGAACAAAGTTGCAGATGGTATTCCGTGGCTTCTAAGATCAGGCACCCATGAAGGGCCACCTCCTCGTGGTGGGTGCTGGGTCACGCCAAGCGCCCTTCAACCCCCCGTTGTGGACCCGGGGGGATATTAGGTCCACCAACCCGTTTGCCGTGGGTTGCGCCCCTGTGTCGGTGGAGGAAGGGAGTCTGGTGGTTGAGGGCACTGGTTCCAGGAACAGTGTTCCTTTGCCCAACACACCACTTTGCCCCTGACTTCACCTAGACGGGTGGTTGAATGGGCCCGGTTCAACCAATCGGCTGGTCATGCTGAGCCCTGTGCATTCAACTTGTTCTTGCACAAATTTGATTCTTTCAAGTGTTTGCCATGGGGTCTTGTTCAAATAGCTTGTAGACCTGCACTATTAATTGATTTTACATAGATCAACATACTTACCTAGAGTCTTAATGCCCAGAAGGCGATGGCTCATGGGTCAATCTGGTGGATTTATTGATCTCGAATTGATACTTCTGCTGGAGTATATCATCCCAGTATCCTTGGTGCTGCTAGTTGGAAATCCACTGGCTTATAGCATTGTCTTCGTGATACTCCATGGTGGGTGGGGAGCTGGGATGATGAACCTCTATAACCTTAACATGATACCCCCAAAACAACTTAAACGTACATTAGATGATAGTACATCTTCTGATGATGATGCTGTTTCTAACAGCAAATCTGATTATTGGTCACGCTTTTTGGTGATTTCCTCATCGGATGATGGTCCGTTGAAGCTGAATCCCTTTGCTCTTTCAAAAGCAATTTATGGTATTGCTGGTGATGTTGTCACAATGAAAAAGATGCGATCTGGCTGTATCTTGATTGAATGTAAGTCTGCATTTCAATCAGCTACCCTCTTGGCACTCAAACATCTCGTTTCAGTACCTGTTATTGTGTCACCACATAAAACTTTAAACAGCTCGAAAGGCATTGTCAGAGACCGAGAACGTTGTCTTTCAGACATGTCTGAAGATGATATAGCTTTTGAATTAAAGGACCAGGGTGTGACGGGTGTAAAACGTTTCACGAGTAGGCAGAATGGTCAAATAGTAAAGTTAAACACCTATCTATTTACCTTTTCTCTTCCTGTTCCACCAACATCCATTAAAGCGGGTTATTGCAACATTGGTGTGGATAAGTACATTCCTAATCCACTTCGGTGTTATTCATGTCAAAAGTTTGGTCATGGTGCCCAGTCATGTACCAACAGAAAGAAATGCCATCGATGTGGCGAACCTGCTCATGAAATGTTAGAATGCCCAAACAACCCAAAGTGTGTTAATTGTTCTGGTGATCACGCTGCCTCTTCCAAATCATGCCCTGTGTGGCAACTACAATACAAGGTAGTTAAAATGAAACATGAAAAAAATGTTTCTTTTTCAGAGGCTAAACGTTTGGTGATGTCAACTACAACTCCAACTGCAGCTGTGTCATACTCTGCAGTAGTTGCACGTCATCCTAACATGTCTACTAAATCCGTTGAATGCCAGACAGATATCACCTGGGTGCATACTGAAAAACAGTCATTGTCTGAAATTCACGTTGTGGCGTCTACCCAAACAAAACCACCATCCATCCCGTCAAAATCTCGTTCACCATCACCTGTTGTGATAAATGCCAGCAAAAACATCAACTATTCAAGAAAACCGGAACGAGTGCCCAAAGGTCAACGGAATCGGGTACAACTCTTCAACAAATATGAAATTCTAGAAGATATGGATGTCACCCCTCACCACCGTACGCGCCGCAAAAGTCATTCACCACAGTCTAGGAACAGATCCCCTGTCTTACCACCTAATGTAACATGAACAACACTACTACACTTATCCAGTGGAATTGCAGAGGTCTTAAGACCAACTTAACTGAAATACAGCTGTTAATCCAAGACTTTCAACCATCTGTTTTCTGTCTCCAGGAAACTTACCTGAAGCCGACGGATACATTTGACTTACGTCAGTACAATTCTCATCATTCCTTTTCTCCTTCGGGTGGCAAAGCCACTGGAGGCTCCTCTATTTTAGTGAAGCAGGATATCATACATAGCCCTGTTCATCTTACCACTAATCTTCAGGCTGTTGCAGTCCGCCTCACGTTACACATTGCTTTTACTTTATGCTCTTTATATATCCCTCCATCTTCAAACCTCCAACAATCTGAACTTCAATCTCTATATGACCAGTTACCTCAGCCCTGCATACTCATGGGGGATTTGAATGGACATAATCCTTTATGGGGAAGTAGTGGTATTAATACCAAAGGTAAAATATTAGAGGATTTCATTTCTGACAATAGTCTATGTATTTTTAACGATGGTACTAACACATATTTACACCCTGCAACGGGTAGTTATTCTGCCTTGGATCTAACAATCACAGATGCAAACCTTCTGAATGAATTTTCATGGTCAGTTCATGATGATTTATGCGGAAGTGACCACTTTCCTACATTTTTAACAGTCAGTAACCCATCTGACGTTCAGCCTTCATCAAGGTGGAATTTTTCAAAGGCTAACTGGTCTAAATTCACATCATTGTGTTCTGAGAAATTAAAACATGAAGCATTCCAGAATATCACTGATCCCATTCAGCTGTTTTCAGATGAACTGAATGCTATAGCTACCGAATCCATTCCTAAGTCCTCTGCTAATCCACACATTCGTAAGCCATGGTTTGATGGAGATTGCAAACGGGCTAGAAAAAAATAGGAAAAGAGCGGAAAAATATTTTTGCAAACATCCAAGTGTACATAATTTGAATAATGTTAAGGTAACCAGAGCTAAAGCTCGACGTACCTTCAAACAAAATAAACGTCAATCATGGAGAACCTACGTCTCCAAGATTAATTCCCGCACACCTCTATCAAAGGTGTGGAATATGGT